CGCAGGCAGTGTCTAGTGGCTCCCCTTGGCCAAGGTCGAAACCTATGACAGTCCCTTAGCTGCCTAGGTACACCCACCTAGTATCAGCTCGGGCTGTTTCAAAAAAGAAAAAAGAAAAAAAAAACACTACTGCTATTCTTTTTCCTTTTTTGTTTCTGCCTGCCTTGATCTCTTTTTTTTTTCTTTTTTTTTTTTTTGATCTCGTACTTTTTCGGAAAGAATAAAGATCTATAACTCCAGATGTGGGCAGGGGGGAGAGCGTAGAAGTGTAGGGTATTAATTAGCAGCAGCTTTGGATTGGATAGGATAGATGGGTGTGGATCTGGGTAGGAGGGGACCAGGGATTCCTTCTCATTTCACAGTGATGCAGGGGCATGGCGGATCATAGGTAGGAGTAGTGATAGGTAGGTAGTGTGAGGAAAAATTGAGAGAAGAGTATAGTTAAAAAAAAAAAAAAAGACTGGTACATCGAGGTGAGGACAGAATCTGATGTAAGGCGGTGGGTCTGTGGCGTAGTTTGAGACGCAGTTAATCCCTTCGGGAGAGGGCAATCAATGCTGCTCATCGATGACAATCACAATCTGCTCCGGCCTTGTAATTGGGAAGGTGAACCCAGTTTCGAGCTTGGTGATGCTCCCCACTAATAGATTGGAGCCTTCTATAAATGAGGGCCTATTATTGGTGCGTACTCCTATCACCGCCAATAATAGGCTTCTCGCGGATGTTGAAAAAAAAAAGAAATAACGGCGGACGCGGCATGTTTTGAAACCCCTAAAGGCAAAAAGAACTCGCGTCGGCAGAGAAACCACGCGCCAACTCGAAATGAGCGATTGCGGTCCAAAAGTATCTGTTGAGCTTTTTTTTGTTTCTTTTGTTTTCCCCTCTGACACCACGGCCGACCCCTGTAAATATGACATCCGGTCTGACACCACGGCAGGCAGTACTTCCGTTGCCTTTTCGAACTCGGTGTTGTTCTCTTTGCCGACGCGTGTTTTTTTTGCCCATTCCATACTCAAAGGTGACATGAACAAACTTACCCCCCCCACAAAAAAAAGGGAGAGGACAATCAATGCTGCTCTTCTTCTTCTTCTTCTTCTTCTTTAATTTGGCGTTCTTTTTAAGGAAATAATGGTGGTTTGTACCTTTACCTGTCGTCCAGTTTTCCTCGCGACGATCCCGATCTCTGTCGGACGGGTTTGGCCCAAATTCCCATCATGCCCTTCAGATGACCCTGATCTGTGTCAGTTGTCTTATCACTGACCAGCTGTTGTTGCTCGATCCGCGGATCGTCGGAAGAACACCGTTCTGTCCCTTCTTGTGGCGGGGAGTCGATGATAGACGAACATGTTGCGAAGTCGTCGGCGAGGTCGGCCTTGAAATCTCTCCAAGAGTTGGCAGCCCTTTTGTATCGGTAGAAAAACCACCATTGAACCACCAGAGGCATGAGCCCAAGGGTGAGAAGTGTCAGACCAGACCATACCAGACCGGAAGCTTTGCGAAGCACAGGACAATGTTGTTCCCGAATTTGCTGGAGGGTGGAGAGGACGTCTTTGCAAGACAACAATGTCTGCAACACCGGGATGGCTTTCACGACATCCACAATGAAGTGAAGGAGGTCCCTTAAGTCGTTCGGAATGATGCCCACCACGGGCAAAACAATTGGCAATTGCTCCGCCAGCCGCTTATAAAACAGGTAGAACTCTTTTGCAAAATCCTCCAGGTCTAGGCAATTTTGTGGTTTGAGCACTGTACCATTCTCCATCTCCCGAAATGGATTGCAAGGAGGGCGAGGGGCAAGAGATCTATACATGTGCGGAATCACAGACTCTATCTGAGTGATCCATGGTTCCGTCATCATTACCATCACCGTCCTTCCATCCATCCGTCCATGCATCCTCACAATCCATCCAACCATCCTTCCGTTCCTCCATTTGTCGAGACCATCCATTACCATCACGGTTCATCACCGTCACCATCCATCCATCCATCCATCCATCCATCCATTCATGTCTCCATCCATCCATCCATTCATGTCTCCAGCCATCCATCCATTTGTCCATGTCACCACCCCATCCATCCATCCATTCATCCATCCATCCATCCATCCATTCATGTGTCCAGCCATCCATCCATTTGTCCATGTGTCCACCCCACCCATCCATTTGTCCATGTGTCCACCCCATCCATCCATCCATCCGTTCGCTCACACGTCAAGCCGATCCACTCCATATGTCGAGCCGATCAGTTTGTCCACCAGCCATCGGTCCACATTGATTGGTCCAACCACCCACATGTCACATCCATGCATGCATCCACACGTGCATCCACATTCATTGTCCCCGAAAAGTTACGGACATTCATCCACACAACCGATCCGTCCACCCATCCATTGTCACAGTTGCTGTCAGTCCGGCAGCATCAACCCCTACGTGAAACCATCATCACTGTCAAATTTCTAGTGGATCATTGTAACCTCACTGACTGATTCCAATTGAATGTATCGATTTTTTTTGGGGGGCTAGGTAGATACCTAGCCCAAAGTTGTTTGTGAGTATGCCCTCAGTGAGGGCGTTACGGCAAGGGTGTCAGGTGCACGGAAGAAGGAATGGGGCGAAAAAAAAAGAACGTGAACTTAGGGCAGGAAAGAAGGTTCATACATTCTGCAAAGAAATAATGTGGGTATGCTCTCCTCCACAAAGCGTCAGCAGCTCGTGGACTGAAAGAAGGTTCATACATTCTGCAAAGAAATAATGTGGGTATGCTCTCCTCCACAAAGCGTCAGCAGCTCGTGGACTGTGCTGTGGCGGGGCACCAAAACTGAAAAAAGAACAAAAACAGGAAACACACAATGAAAACCTGAAACTGGCCACTATAGCGGTTAGATACAACCGTCCGAGTTTTGGTGTGAGCACAACTTGGTGCACGGGTTCCCCGACATGATCTTTTGTTTTTCAAAGGGGCTCTCAAGGCCCAACTGCCGAGCCTTGTCCAACCCCCAAAAACTTCGGAAAAAGTGGGAACACGGCCACTTTTCCCATTTTTCCCAACACTGGTGGAGGTGGTGGCGGTTAAAAAAAAAAAAAAGTGCCTGACAGTGTCAACCAGTGGATCCTTTTTTTTTGTTTGTTTGGGCGGATCCTGATTAACAACGTGTTTTTTTGTTTTTTTTTTCCAAATGAGACTCATAACCCAGGACAGTGTGCGCCTGTTGTTTTTTTTTTTTTTTTTTTTTTTTTTGGTGCCCGACGCCCGTTGTTGTGTGTGTTTTTTTTTTTTTTTTTTTTTTTTTTTTTTTAAGTCCAGGGTGCCGTTGTTACCTCATTGGTTTCGAGGAGATGGAAGAGAAGGGGAAAGATGAAGTGTCTAATTGTCTGATCACCGTTCATCTATACAACATCTGATCATGTTTTTTTTTGTTTTTTTTTTTAATACAACATCGGGGGAAGGAGAAGCTTAGAACTGGAAGATGAAAGGAAGCAAGGGGGGTTCAACATGGGAAGGGACGTCGGTCTAAGTAAGTAGGTTGGAAGGACAAAATTGGGACGACACAGGCCGTTGCTGGAGCTTTTGCTCTGTAACCTGGGGGAGCAAGACATCTGTGGAGTTATGTCGAGGTAGGAAGGCATAACCAGGTTGTCCGACGTAGCTGATGCCGGGGGTTCTTCCCTGTAACTTAGGGGTGTGTGGCTAATCGAGAGTGTCGAGGGAGGAAGGCACTCTTTGCCGTCTGAACCAGGCTGGTCGGTTCTAGGGAAGTTTGTTTTGCTCTTTAACCCTAGCATTGGGGGGTATGAGATCAGCCTGAGTTCTGGTACGAGGACTAAACGCTTGGACTTAACGTTTTTTCGCTTGTTGAAGGGGAGGTGTAAACAGTACGAGTGTTTTTTTTTTTTTTTTTTAGGATCTTCTGTTTCCAGGTTTGGACTGTGGTTGGGTAGATCATAGGCAGTTTTTTCTGAGAACTGCAGTTGTTCTTACAGTTGTTTCTCATAGGTTTTCGTAGGTTTGGTAATCAACTGATTGTTGTCTTCTCGGTTGTACTTCAAAGGGACGCTGAGCCCGGTTCTCAGCACGTGATGCTCCCCACAAATAGATTGGAGCTTTTGTCCCAAAAAAAAAAAAAAAAAAAAAAAAAAAAACATCTGATCATGTAACATGATAAGTTACAAGGAAAAGAACGAAAAATGGAAGCCTATGTTCACACCTTGGGGGAAGAAAGTACAGCGATGGACTTTCATCACTTTGAACTGCTTCCCTCGTTTTGGGAAGTAATCAATGCCACCTGCTCCATAGGGGGGGAGGACATGGTAGACACGGAAAGGGGCTTGAACTCCATATGGCATATACCGATGTTCAAATTTTACAATCACACTCACACAGTACTGGATACACAGTAAACATCCTCGCACAGCATTGAACAGGGGTTCTGGACCTGATTTCCAGCAGGTGTAGCTCCCCACCAATAGATGGAATCTTCAACACTGGGACCCACTTAACGGGGCTGCTCTGATCACCTCGTTAAGTGGGTTTTCCCACATATGAAGTTTTCTTAAAAAAAAGACAGAAAAAGAAAAAGGCGTCTGAAGGGGTGGAAAGGAAAGAATGGAAAAACTATGGCAGGTCAGTTTTTTTTTTTGTTTTTTTTTTTTGTTTTTTTTGCTTTTTTGTTTTGTTTTGAAGATAGGTCCATTCATGCGTCCTCCCGCGGCCGGTTTTCATATGCGTATACGCAGCCGCGCCGATGTCCGTCCATTCGTGGCTGGTGTCCGTGGTACAAACCGCGGAGGCCCTTGCGCGGGTGAGGAGGGGGCGGTGAAAAGCGCGGTCACCCCAAACTTTGAAAATTCAAATTCGAATTTTCGCGGACGCAGGGTGGCGGGGCGGAGGTTTTTTTTTTTTTTTTTTTTTTTTTTTTGGATGAACAACCCGAGCTAGTGCTAGGGGTGCGGAATCGCGCTGTGCCGAGCGCCGATAGCGCAGCGAGTTTGCGCTACGTGGAAGCGAAGCTACTGCCAAGTGAAGCAAGACATCGCCATTGACAGCCTAGTGACTCTATCAAGAACGACTGCTGACGAGTAGGTGAGGCCTCGAGAACGATTGCCAGGTGAGGCCGAGAAAAGGTGACGGCGAGTCTGCTCTGAAACGCGGAGGTGCCAAATCTTTGTGACTGGCTGTCCGGATCTCGACAGGATGTCATTGTAGGGATAACGAATGGGATGGCCAGTAAGTCACATACCACGGGGCACGACGTGATGGCAACCGGACGCAGAGGAATGAAGAAGACGTTTGCAGATAGGAGTAACGACGACGACGTTGAAAGACGTGGGAACAGACAGACAGGAGCAGGGGAGAGGGAGGGACAAGGGGGAAGAGGCGGCCTGGACAAAGACCAGGGGCGACAGGAGGATTGCGAAAAAGGGGGGAATAGCCGCAGAGGTGAAGATCTCACATCCGGAGGGAGCGGACAGAGGCAGGAGGGAGCGACCAGCGGAGTGATCAAGGAAGTAGACAAGGGACATGGAGTACTCTGGGTATCAGCCCCGTCTCCTTGGGGCCCGGAGGATATCCCTCGATGAAGGGAGGGGACGTTACCCAGAAGTGAGTAACTGAAGATCGCCCTTTGAAAAACCCCTCCATACCCTGCCTGCCCTCCCTAACAACAACCTCTGTGACTGCTGTGTGTAGTGTTGATGACATGATTGCGTTTTAGTTATCCGTGCGATCGTGGATGGATAAGTGAGCGGGTAGACTAGAAGACTAATGGATTGAGTGTTTCTGACCCCCTCCGACTCCCTTGAAGTTCTGCCCTTTGAAAAACCCCTCCATACCCTGCCTGCCCTCCCTAACAACAACATCTGTGACTGCGGTGTGTAGTGTTGATGACATGATTGTGTTTTAGTTATCTGTGCGATCGTGGATGGATAAGTGACCGGGTAGACCAGAAGACTAATGGATTGAGTGTTCCTGACCCCCTCCGACTCCCTTCTGCTCCCGATCCTGCCCTTGCCTCTTCCTATAATCCCTCGGTCCTGTTCCTACCTCCTTGCCCTTCCTCCCCGACTGTTCCATCTCCCCTCCCTCGTCGATTGCGATCCCGCCCCCTGGGCTCGCACTTCTTGATCCCGACCTTTCTCGTTCCTCCCGACCCTGATCCCGATCCCACCCCCGTTAGCGCCTCGCCCCGGTCTCCCCGCCCACGCCCCGGCCCCAATCCCGATCCTTCTTCCTTCCCTGCCGCGCCGCCCCCTATCTCGATCCCGGCTCTCACGCTGCCTCCGTTCCCGAGCCGCATCCGTTCTCGAGCCCCCCCTTGACCACCCCAACCCCGATTCCGATCCTCCCTGCCCCCTATCCCGATCCTCACTCTCACGCCGCCTCCGTTC